CTCTCTCTCTCTCTCTCTCTCTCTCTCTCTCTCTCTCTCTCTCACTCTCCCTCTAACACCCTCTCTCTTCCCTCTAGCTCTTATTTAAATCAGTCACGTTTTCTTGCCATATTGCACACGTATGTGCTTCAATTAACTGGTTCTAGTGTAGCCCACTCTCATAAACTTGGTCAATACTTATATGCATAGAATCTATCTATCTATTATCTAACCTGTCTGGGTAAAAATCCCATTCGAACTATTTATCTACCCAACTATTTGGCATGCAAATCACCTGCAGCTGCCTTATTATAGAGACTAAACCTTCCCTAGTGCTAGGCACTTATTATCTATTGTGTGTGTTTGCCAGAGGGAGTTTTTTCTAATTGTATAATTATCTATTATTAGTCTTCTCTAGTTGCAAACAGGAAAGTCTGCTTAATGATGACATTTTGCAGTACTTGAGGTAAAAACTTTCAAAGCATTGTGTAAATATAATCATAATAATAATAATTAATAATAATTATAGTATCTTTAATACAATATTAATATTATATATATATAAATTGGCGTATTAAATAGGCTTGATTTATTCTGATATACATACATATATAATTGTATAATAAATATAAATAATAATACTATTTATTAATATTACTTCGATTAAAATTTTGTTTCTTTGAAGAACATTTCGTAGAAAATTAATTATTCTATATAATAAAAATAAATAAATTACTTTTCTTCTTCTTCTTCTCTTATTCCAATGAAAACATTGGAGCTCTACAATTTTTTTTTAAAGCTAGTTAAGATCTGAAGATTTATCAGGCAGAGTTTAATTCAAGTTTATGCAGTCGTTGGCCTCGTTCTAAAATACTTTCAATTGTTCCATAATATTTCTCATGGCTTTTATTGTTATAATATATAAAAAAGTTATACAGCTGTGTATTACAGGTGTTATATATATATGTTATCGTATTATTTATAAACTTTTCTTATACCTGTGATCTTATCTTATCTGAGTAAATATTAACAGCTACTTGAGAGCTTATATATAAACTCATCAATCTATATGTATTGCTCTTAATACAAAGTAACTGAATTGCTGATAAGATAAAGGGCATATATACTAAGTATTTATGTTTAATATACAATTAGGGTTCTATCATATGTTTTCAACTCAGTATAGAGTTAAGTGATGTATCTCATATAAGAATATGTAAAGGAGATAATTAGCAGATCTTTACTTTCAGTTAAGAACTAATGGATATAAAGGGGTAATGGATAATGCATACTCAAAGCAACTCTAGTATATGTGCCTGTGTCTGTGTCTGTGTGTGGCATTCACCGTTAATCATTTTAATGTTTACTAAAACACACGAGCGTGCGCCCGCCTGAAGAGCTGAGCTCATTAAGCGTGCAGAGCTTTGGCAGCCAAAGCGAACGTCTCATCCTGATTGCCACATTTCCCATGCACTTTCCATTTTCGCACTTTGCCACTCATGGCCGTTGCATGCCACTTGGCCGCTGGTCAAGCGTGCGTGTGCATGTGTGTGTGTGTGTGTGTGTGTGTGTGTGGCGCTTTGTTCTCGATTTCAATCTCACATGAATTCCAAATGCAATTTGTCGTCGCTGTGCAGCGCCCATCGGGCAATTGGCTGAGAATGAGCAAAAGCTAGCGACCAATTAGTTAGGACCTTGCCAAAGGCAACAACAACAACAACAGCAGCAGCAGCAGCAGCAAGACAAGAAGAAGAAGAAGAGGATGATGATGAAGTGAAAGTAGAGCTAAGGAACTGCAGCAACAGCAACAGCAACAGCAACAGTTTTCGCCTTAAACTGTTGCTCAATTATTAATGCCAACAATTTGTTTAAATTACTCCTGGCAACAATTTTGTTTTTTTCCCTCTTTGCCGCTCGTTCGTAGCATTAACTTAAGCCAGGATATTTCATCATATTTCCTAACGGAAGTTGCTTCCGTCGAATTCTAAGTGATTCCCATTCTCAATCAGCTAAAATTACTTTTATATGAGCCTATAGATATATATTGATATATGTATATATATATATATATATATATATATATAAGTATGTATGTGTGCATAATTTGCATATAAATATGAATTATTTATAGAGGTTTTTATAGCTGTGAGTTTTACCACTTTGTATGCCCTGCGGACAGCGCATAGGCAGACTGTTAGCTGCTTTTGTGGGAAGTGCTCGACTGGCAGATACTCTAACTGGCAAACAAAACATTATAAACTGATTTGCCATTGCCAATGAGTAACGGGCTTAAGACATAGGTTAATATTAAATAGAAATTTACAGCATGAAGTATGTACATATATAAATATAATATATCTTAAAGAGAGTGAAATTGGAATAGAACAAAAAGGCATCGGAAGATCTAGCTTAAGATCTTGAGATTACCTATCATTCAGTTCTTTATCTTCACTCCACTTGATAAGGTATATGTCAGCCCATCATCCGCTTCACTCCCGCTTAGCAGTCGTCACATTAATGACTCTCGTTGTGAAATCTGCGGCATTGCCCAAGGATGTGGAGTAGCTGCTTTGCCTGCGGCGTAATTTCAACGGCGATTACCGCAACACGCATTTGTCAAGCGCCTCTTAAGCTCCGGCAAATCGCATAATTATGGAGGCGCTGCTGCGCTGGGTGGGGCGTGGCGGCGCCCACTTGAATGTGACATAATTTCCGCAACATTTATTTATTAATTAAAAAAGGAACAAAAATATAATGAAATGAGTAGCGAGAATTGTGCGCCTTACCACGCCTCACTGTGGGCAGTTAAGCTAGATTAATTGCCAAATAAATTTCATTTCATTTGTTAAAAAAAAAAATTAAATAAAGAAACTTTTCAAAAGATTCAGAAATTTGCAGCAATTATCATTCACAGCAGGCGGCAGCAGGATGTCGTTCGCTTTTTGTTAAAATTGTAATGGAGACTGTAATATGATATCATAAAAAATGATATATGGGTGGGATAAATAAAAAGTATTTATTGAAATTTATGATATATGTATATACATATATATGAGTAATTCTGTTAACAAATGAGTTATTCCAGTCAGCTCTACTGAGAACTATTATCTGCTATGCAGCTAGTTCATATATTATCTCTCCCTTTCTCTCTCTCTCTCTCTCTCTCTCTCTCTCGCTCTCTCAATCTAATCAAAGCAAACAAAGCCACACGTCATGCAATGTCTGGCAATCAACTTATCTTGCTCGTCATATAATTTGAATTGAATTAGCTTAGTCGAATTTGTGTTTGTAAATTGCGTTTTCAGACTAATTTTGTTATCTTTGGAAATACCAGACAAGTTGGTTTCACTCTGGAAATCAAAGTTCCGCAGAACAAACACAAAACGACATTCGAAATTAAAGCTCTGTGCCAAAGCATTGTCCACTAAAACTTGAAAGTTTTGTTTATCCAAAAGTTGATTTCTCATCTTTACTGTGAACTTTTTATGTACAAACAATACTATAGAAGGGACTGTTCGCCTACGTAGAGCTAAGCTAAGACCTCCTTAAGTGCAAGCATATTTAAGCGTACTTTTAGGTTTCCCTTTAGTGCAGTTGTAGTCAATTTTATACAGGATATCTTTAAGTTGAGCCTCGAATTTGTCCACATCCTATTCGAAATTATCGCTTGAATTTGCAAATGTGATCTAACAATAGCTTTAGGATACTGCAGAACTTATTCTATTTATTAAATGTAAATTATTTACATCTTTTTCTATGATATTTTGTAGTTGATCATTGCAGGACTCTTTGCACATTCACATTTCCTTTCAGTGACTGCTCAGACCATTTACAGACCATATTATGCTAGGCTTCTCTCGGCAGCACTACATCATTATATCAAAATGGATTTCCATTCATCTCTCTACAGGATATCTGTTAGTTGATCATTGATCAAGGCTCACATATCGTTCCAGCAACTGCTGAGATCTTTCACAGAAAATCCTATTAGTCTAAGAAAGGTTTTCTGGCAGCTCTCTTCAGCAAAGTAAGCTCATCCACCTCTTTACAGGATATCTTTTAGTTGATCATTGTGCTGCTACCATTTCGTTCTAGTCACTGCTCAGACCATTCACAGACCATTCTTATTATGCAATTCTAGTGCTGCTGCAGCCGCTGCTGCTGCGATTGCTCTTATTGTTGTTGCTGCCGCATGAGTGTGCCGCATTCATTTCATATGCGAGCATCTCGATTAGTTAGCAGTTTTCTCGGTTTTTTTTTTGTGCTTTGCTTTGCTTTCTGGCTTTTTGGTTTTTGGTGGCTTGGCCATTCGTGTTGGCCTGGTCAGATGGATTTTTAATTGCGCTGCTTTTGCATTTGATGGCCGCCATTTTGCCATTTTGCTGGCGTTGTCAGTTTCCTAATTGGACATTTTGTAATTAACTTCAATGGCAGTTCACTCTTGAGCTGCATTCTGTCTGCCTCCCAATCCCTCCCCTCCCTCCTCCTGAGCTGTTGTTTTTCTTGCTCTTATCGAGCACATTTTTCACATTTTCTGCTGTGAACTTTTATTGTGGCTTTTGGCTGCAGCGTCGCCTTTCCTATTGTTATTTATGTGCAGCTCGTTAGTTTTTTTTTTCTTATTTCCTTTTTTGGCGGTTTCTTGCTTATTGTTGTTGTTGCAGAGATTTTGCTGTAATCACTGAATGGATTGCACGCTGCAGTCGAGCGTATCCTAATTGATAACATTGTAAGGTAGTTTATTTATCTCTGGCTAAAAGTAAAGCAAGCTGCCTGCTGTCAGGGGACTTAGCGTTGGTATGGAGGAGTTTGAAAGGACGGCTCTGGCTCTCAGCAGGAAGTGCCCTAGTTGCAAAGTTCAATCAATATGTTAGCAATGCAATTGTATCTTATTACAGCAAGTGCTGTTTAAATGCACTGCGAGAAATGAGATAAGAAAAAAACAAGATATATATATTTTTATATATATTTTTTCCAATTTTACGTATAATTTTTTATTTCTTGCTTTATTTATTTTACAATTTTAGCGGCCACTTATAAGACATACCTGCAACATAAATTCTTTCAGCAAACTAAAACTATTCAGAACTTTACCTCCTCCACCTCCCTTTTGCAGCGTAAGAACACAAAAAGTGCAACTTGCTTAACCTACAGCATTTACAACTTCATCTTTCTTCTTCAAGTGTACGTGTCAAAGAAAGCAAAACTTGTACTTTTACAGTTAGTTTTACGCATGCAATTTCGTGAACGCTTCCCATTTGCTTCCTTCCTGTTGATTGAAGCTTATTTAAAGCGCTTTAAAGTGTTTAGCAAGAGCACAGCACGAATAGACGTAAAGAGAGAGAGAGCAGGAGCGAGAGCGAGAGTAAGAGAGCGAGTTAAAAGCGAAGAGTATCCGTGCGCTTGAAAGTACTTCAGTTCAAAAACCTCCAAGCATTGCGTCACAAAATTCACGCCATAGACAAAACACACGCACACAGACAGAGAAATGCTGCGAGCGCTAGCACAGACACGCACACACACACACACATGGACAACGGACTTTGTGTGAAGCTTTTCATAGTAGTAGCGACTCGTCAACAATCAGCCGTAAGTATGCCTGAGTGTGAAAAGGGAGAACAGACACGCACACGCACACATACATGCACGAAGTCAGCAACCGGTTTCGTTTGTGTGTGTGCGTGTGTTAGTGTGCTTTTGCCAATTGTCTAGCGTCGCCTTTTGAGTGGGCTTTTGGGCGCTGCTTAGCAAGACGACACCTGGAAAACTGCAATGGCTTGTGCTGCTTCTTAATCTCGTTCTAAATATAACGCCAAACTAAGGCGAAACATATGAAATGATGCATGCAGCAAAAAATCAATTTATGGATTTTAGTTTTTTGTTTGACTTGAGTCAACAACAAAAAATGCACGTGTTTATTTTTCGTCTTGCTCTTGCTCGCTTGTTAGTCATTATTTGAGATTTAAATTTGTCTTCTATTTGAACAGCTGGCAGAGTATAAGAGGCGCGTGTGCAATTAATGCAATTGAGTTTAATTGCAAGCAAATGATATGCAAAGCACTCAGGAGAGTGAGATAGAGTGAGAGAGAGAGGGAGCCGGAGAGAGAGGCAGGCAACACACTTAACTTACCCCGTTAGTTGATGCTGTCGCAGCAGCACACAAAAGCGCGCTAAAATGCCAGCACAGGTATTTAAGTGTATGAGTGAGCTTGCGTGTGCGTGTGTGTGTGCATGTGTGCGTATGCGTGCGTGCGTAAGTTATACGGGCTGTCGCGCCACTTTTATTTGAATGAGAATGAAATTTGTATTTCTTGTATAAATAGCGAATGAAAAGGCGCTGCTCTGCAGCAGCGCTCACACTCACACTCACAATTGAAATGTAATTCACAATTACGCGGCGCCTTTTCTTTGTCTTTGCTTGCCGTTTGCACAGGAACTGCAGAAACACTTTAATTGTCCTTAAATTTGTCTATATTATCATTTGCTGCTGCTGCTGTTGCTGCTGTTGCTGTTGCAAACAGTTTGTGGCACACGCTGAACAGGACTACTGCAAATCGCGTTGCCTTTGGCCATTTTATAGGACCTGCTTAGGTTCCACACAACAGCTGTCTTGGATGCTGTGGATGCTGTCGCTCTCTGTCTCTCAGTTTCGCCAATGCGCAGTTACAAACAACAACTGAAGAGCGGCTAGCGGTTTTACTATATTTAATTAGTCAATGAGTATTGCTTGAAGTCTTTTGATATTTTGTTTTGTTTGATTATTTGTTTACCTGAATGCAAAATCAGAGTACATTTTAGCGCTGTCCATAAAAAAGCTCATTCAATGCGCCGCCTGAAAGTATGCAGTGAATTTCGCACGTTCACAGGGTGTGCCATGTTAACCATTTGGCCTGCTCGCACTTGTTGCTGCCTTTGCCGCAGGCAAATTTATCGCCGCTTCAATATGATGCCATAAATTATATCCCAGATAATCTGCGCAAATACCCAAATAACTCAAATGTACTCACGGAGTAAGCTTTTGTTCTTCAATTCTTAAGTTGTTAAAGGGGAATGAAAAAAAAAATCGTTTTAGCTTGTTTTTATAATGATAATCTGAATTCTTTTGCCTGCTTGAACCCATATGAGCTAACCAAAATAAATAAATTAACCAATTCATTTATACTCATACTTATACGCATACTTTATGTCATATGTTCAATTTTTATGCTACTACTAATGGTTTATGGTAGTCTATGCCAATCAAAAATTCAGAGATGTCCAAATTATTGGCCACACCTTTTTGACCAAATTCTCACGCTAGCAACTCAGGAAATTCGCTTTGGCTATCAAGTGATACCACCCAAAAATAAACATAAAGAAGAAACAGCATCGAAAGTGGTTGCTAAATGACTTTCTCCCATCAAAATTTTGTTATTGGCTAAGCAAATTCTGTCGATCGATGTAAAGATCTAGCACAACTTTTTTGCATTGCATTGTTTTCTTCTTTTGTTATAAGTCAAAATCGCGTGTCAACAGCTGCAAAAGAATTCACAAGATTCATTTGATAAGAATGCCAACTGTTTATGGTTGTTGTTGCTGATGTTGCTGTTGCTGTTGCTGCTGATTTTTATATCTCATGTACGCTTCTAGCTTAACTGTGAATCGAGTGCTTTTGCATTCCATGATGACTTGGCCAGGGGGATGATAATGCGTTACTTTGCCCAGCCATTAGTCAGGCTTTAAACAACGGCGCTTATGGCATATGAAAAAAAACTAGCAAACAGCAAATTCCAATATCAATACGAATACGATACGAAAAAAGTGAGCGGAAAATATGGTCGAAAATATGACCAAATACTGAGATGCCGCAGAGTGGGTCTCAGGCGCTGTCGTGTCGCAGCCGGCGCGCCGCGACGTCTCAGTCGGCGAGTGTGTCAGGTGCAATGCGCCGAAGCTGTTGACCAGCAGCACAGGCAGCGGAAGGAGCCGAGGAGAGAGCAGCAGCAGCAGCAGCAGCAGGAGGAGAAAGACAAAGAGAGCGAGACAAAAGACAGACGTTAAAAGTACATAAAAACACACAAAATAGAAGAAAAATTTAAAAACGACGAAGAAAACATAAACGCAGGCAGAGCTCATATGTATGTATGTATGTATGTATGTGTGTGTGTGTGTGACGGACTGTGAATATCACCGTGGCAGTTGTTGTTGTTGTTGTTGGTGCTGTCGCTATTGTTGGTCCGGCTGACAGACGTATCAAATGTCTTTCATAGGTAGCCAAACGCTTCCTATTCCGTGCATGTCGCTGCGCTTGGTATTTGCATGCTTTGGCTTACAGCTTGGACTCGGCATTTGGCGTAGGGCATTTCCCGATTCATTTGACCGACCCATAAACAACGCCCATTTCGAAGCAAAGCTTCTTCGACTAACTGAACTTGTGTAACCGAATACGAATGAGTTTGTGTGTTTATGGTTCTCTGTTATTTTTAGTTTCTTTGTTTTTTTTTGCTTATATTTGCACTTCCCTTTTATGTCGCTTCCTTATGGCATACTAAATAAAGTTTGGTCGTGTGACCAAACAGTTCGCAATTTAGAAGAGAGTAAAAGAGAGTAGAAGAGAGTGAGAGAGGAGAGGCAGTAGTATAGGAAGTCGTGTGTTGCCCTTGAATTGTATTGCAAAAACTGGTTAAAGCTACCCCTAGCAGCAGCCCCTTGGCCTTAAACTTCTTTTGGGCCCCTAATCAAAAAAACCAGAATTAAAATTTGCCGCTAATTTCGTAGTTCTTGTTGTTTCGTTCATTCGCAGCCAGCTGTTGAGCGCGGCAGCAGAACAGCCAATCGAACGGACAGTGGGAGAGAGAAAGAGAGTTCGCGCGCTCAACGAGCAGCGGCTGCGCAGCAGCAGCGACGACGACGACGACGAAACAAAGCTCGACTTGACAGCGTCGACGTTGACGGCTCTCATTCGCGTTTCAACGTTTGCGCGGCGCTCACGCAACGGCTGAGTAGAGCAGAGCAGAGCAGAGCGGCATTCAAATAACGTATCAATGTTCGTTTTGTTATTGTTGTTACTGTTATTATTATTATTATTATTATTCATAGTATTCATAGTATTCATATTATATTTAAGTCAATTTGTTGTTGCTGGTGTAAAACAATAGCTTCAAACGTGTCGTGCAATAAGCAATGATAAGTGAACCTTAGCTGAAATTAAAATCGTTCAAGCGCAGCAACAACAACAACAGCAGCAGCAGCACTCGAAGCTGGTGATAAAAATAAAAAAAAAAAGGGCTCAGGGACAGCGAGGGAGCAAGCCCTAGACCTTAAAGCCTGCGTGCAGCTGTCTATATATAGATGCCTATGAATGTGCGTGTGTGTGTGTTAGTGTTTGTTTAGTGCATTCTCCTAGTGGGTCACTGGAGCGTGCGATATGTCAGTGCTAAACTAAAACAAGCGACTCATGCGCAAAGCAGACACAAAAAAAAAAAAAAAAAAAAAAAAAAAGAGCGCAAAAAAAAAAAAAAAAAAAAAAAAGAAATGAGCGCATAAAATAAAATGACGAAAAGTGTCAACGGGGCGCATGCAAGTGCAAAAGGGACAGGGACAGTCGCACAGACGAAGGGGAAGCAGGAGACAAGTGTCAATGTCATGAGCATTTAGCATTGCATTAAAATGCAACCCTGTGTTTTGGGTGTGGGAAAAAAAAAGAAAACAACAACAAACAACAACAAACAAGAAAACTTCAAAGCGGAAAAGAGAGCTGAAATTGCTTCCGCTGATCGATTGATATTTTTTCGACTCTGTTTTTCTCTGATGAAAACAACTTTTACGTACAGCAAAACTAAAATTACTTAAGTAACAGCAGCAAAGCAGAAAGCAAAACCAATTGGCCAGCATCAGTTAACAATATTTTAGAGCCAAGTGGCAACGGAGACGCGGCCAAAGACGTTACCAGCTTCCGTTAGTTCGTTTTTGGCCGTCTAAAAGCGGCTTTCAGCTGCAATTGTTGTTGTTTCATTAGCCTTTTTTTTTCATAGAAGCAACAGCTCAGCTGGGCAGAGAAAAACAAAGAGAGAGAGAGAGAGGGAGGTATGTAGAGTGAGAGAGCAGCGGACATATGTGAGGCTGTTAGTAAAAGTTTTATTGATACATCTGCGTGTAATTAATACCAAGATTTCCCTTTCACACATCCACATCAATCTCCAGCCGCAGCATCGATCATCTGCCTGTGCAAAATCTATTCGTCCAAATATTAATTAACCGATTGCCCGCGGCGTTGACTAACCAATACATTTGCATACACACTGAACACACACAAACACACACACATACACACTGTGTACTTAGCCGGCTTGTTAACTAATTGCGCGTACAGTGAAAGCTCCATTAACGAACAACAATCATTAAGAAGTCTATCGAAATTCGTATAATTAGCACTCGCTCTTTGGACTGAACATCTTTTAAAGAATATTAGAATTTTGTATAAAATTAAACACAGAGCGCACAAATAACTTTGTTTTCGGAGTTCTACAATAACTCTCCCGAGATTTTTAATGTATGCAACACTAGACGAGCAATACAATCAAAGCTTTAAACAGCATAAACTAAATTTGAAAAGAAAATGTCTCACTCCCAACAACAACAACTGTTTATCTGGCATTTTAAACATTTTCAACATGTGCTTGGAATTTATCAACACATCACTTAGGTTTTAGCTCGCGACTCAAATCCCACTTAGAGAGTGTTTACGCTCTTAATCATCAAATCTCTGAGGGCTTTAATGAATGTAAAACTTATCTAAATTTCTGTTTTCATTGTCTTGCAATTTGCTGCTTGGGCCAGCTGTTCGTTGCGGCGTGTATTCACTGTACTGCTGTTAGCGTTTGCCGGCTTGATTAACTAATTGTTGTTGTACCCGTGTCTGCCTATGCAAATGTGTACTGCTGTAATTGCTCGCCTATAACTAATACTGTATGTTGTTAGCTCTTGATATCCGTCTGGCCCCTTTTCGCTTTGCTGTTGACCCAATTGCATTTGGAATCGCTGTCATTGTTTAATTAATTATCAAATTAGTTACTGTAACCGCTTAAAGCGACATGCAATGCGAAACAATTGTGTGAGAATGTTGCACAAATCTCTCAACTCTAGATACAGTCAACACGTAACCAGCAACACCAGCACGAGCAGCAGCAGCAGCGACAGCAGCAACAGCAGCAGAAGCGACAGCAGCAGCAGCAGCAACAGCAGCAGCAGCGACAGCAGCAACAGTTGCCATTGAGCAATGAGCAGCTGATCTGATTTTTTTTTTTTAATCAATTACTAGTACGAGAGGTAGCCTTGCTTTATATAACTAATCTTCTTTGGATAAATCAAAAATGCAGACATGCATTTAATCCAGTGTGTGTAGCCGAGGCTTGAATACCCTTACCACAAAAGTATATTCATATTTTGATTATCATTATGACAAAGAGCTGCTGCTGAATATATCTAAAAGCCGCCGTCAATTTGCATACGAACTGCATGCCATAATACTCTATTCATTTAAGTTAAAGTCAGCAGCTAGTCTTTGTGCAGCCCGACCTTCAAATACCCTTACCAATACATTCTTACATAAGTTAGCAAGCTGCTGACTTGTCAAATTAGAATATATATGCAAAGTATATATAGTCTTTTTTGACTAAATAAATGTATATAGTTGACTATTGTATACCCTTACCTACTAACCGTTTGTTAACGTAGTGAATTATAATATATTTCTGAATAGGTTTTCCTGCATATATTAAACAAATTTGCAATAGTTTCATATCAAAATTTATAATTTATAGCAAATAGTCTCAGTCCGCAATATATATACTCTTAAGAACAATGTCTTTTCTGCTTTTATTCAAAATTGAAGACATAATTCTATAGTAAATCTAGAAATCTGAATTCCAAGTATGAATACTCTCCCCGATATAGTTGCATATATATAGTCAGTATAGTATAGTCAGTAGATCTGTGCTCCTTCCTCCTTTGCATACATATGCCCTTACATAATGGCAATACTTCCTCCCGCTCGCTCCTCCTCCATCCCCCTCTTTGTTAGTGTATTCGAAAACTGGGTAAATGCATTTTTAATCATGCACACAAAATTGCATATCATGCGATTCGTTTCTATTTCTCTTTGTTGCATTTCTATAACGCAAATCCGCCCAAAAGTCCCATTCACAGGCAAAGCCGTTGTTTTCACCTGACACACGCACACACATAAACACACGGAATTTCGTATAGCTGCCCAGCGGCCAGTATGCAAGCCAAAAAAGACAAGTGAACTTAAGCATTAGAAATGCTTTGGGGACAACAACAACAACAACAACTGACTCGAAAAAAAAACAATCAACAAGTGCGTCTGTCAGTCTCTTTGTCTCTCTCACTCTCTGTCTATTTGTCTCTCAGTCTCTTAGTATGTCTTGTGTCCCGTTGTCTGGAAATGCGATACAAAAATCTTCGTCTTGTTTTGTTCGCATCTCGCGCTCGTTTAATGCTTCGTCAGTCACAGATACAGCTACAAAGTGTATCTGCAACTGGCCAACATCATCATCATCATTGCCAGCATCATTATTATCATCATCATTATCATTATCATCATCAACTGAACTGAAGTCTCTGGCATTTCATGTCATCCATTTAACTGCCTTAACTATTCTACACCGGCAGCGAGGCGAGCTCTAGAAATTGTTGCCCCACGGCAACAGAAAGCAAAATTGTCCAAAAGACATATTTAAATAATTAAAGTTTAATTAGTGAAAACACGCTCTAGCCATTATGGCTCGAATTTTCCATGCTCAGTGTGTTTCGAGGTCTAAAAATAGTCTTAATTATTTGATTAATTTCATAGCGGCTTTTTGGCAAGATTTGTGCTTAGACCTTCTTTTGCTAAAGTTTCGTTTATGGATTTTCGTGTCAATTATAATCGGCTTGACATTAGTAAGTTATTATCATATGCCTTTTAAGTGAATATTTGTACTATAAAATAAATAGCTGACCGATTTTGTGCTTTAAATGTTTTCACAACGCATTTATAATCTGCTCTAGCATAATTCTGGAAGGAATATGAATAATATATATAATATGTAATCTGACCCAGAGAGGTTAATACAATGTTTGAGTACCTAGGATTTTTTCAATTACTTATTATTTGTGCTATGGGTTCCAATCCATATTTTATTTTGTTTTATTCCTAGCCCTAATAAATTATTATTATTATTATTTTTATTTCTTTTTTTTGTTTTTTTTTTTTATTTTATTTAATTTTTGTTGCTCAGAACTTGTCAAACTTCACTCGCTGCCTTTGTCTTAGAATTTCTCTTTGAATTTGCTTTTTTCTTCAACTTTTCTGTGTTTGTCTTTTTCTTTTTTTAATTTTTTGGATTTGCAAATCTTTTCTTGACTGGGTTGCTTGGCCGCCCCAGGGGGTTGTCTTTCAATATAGTTATGGACAGGTATTGTCTCACTCCCCCACCCGCCTCTCTCTCTCTCTTCCTCTCTATTTCTCTTTCTCACTACCTCTCAATATCTCTCCGACTGACAGTCCCTCTATGTGTTTGTCTTGATGAGCAAGCGGCGCTTGAGGAGATTAGTTGAGCAGCTTTCTTTCGATGCTTAGGGCCTGTTTTTCAAGCTGTTGCTGTCGCTGTTGTTTTTGTTGTTATCGTTTAAGCGCCCCCTCCCGCTGGCGCATAGCCCCGCACCTTTCTAGAGTCCCCACTATGCAAATCGATGGCAGTGCATTAAATGAAATTACCAAATGCGGCTACGTGCCTGTCTAGGTCTTGGCAATTTACATATTTAAGCGTGCAGCCAAAAGACTCCGCTGGCATATCATTCAGAAATTATATAGTACATATACTTATGTATGTATGTATGTATGTATGTATGTGTGTGGCGTTGTCTTCTCTGCTCTTTAGTTTCCGATTCGCTGTAGCTGTAGAATCGTTTGCCTTCAAAGCGAAGCAGCAGCTGCTGCTGCAGTTACATATAGACGTGGGGCGAGGTCTTTGAACATCTTATCTGCAGGCACAATAAACGCGGCTTGTTTATTGTGCCCATAAAGTAAACCCAAAATAAAGATTTCATATACGCAACATACGCTGTGCAACAGGTGAAACGGAGTATATTGGCTTGTAGCTATCATTTCGTTTCATTAGATCTTAGGCGTAGCTATGGATTATGTGGTACACACTGCTTGGTCTGTGAGATGGGTATATTAGCTTGCACTACTGCTTACTGAACTCTTGATATAAATAAAAAGTTTTGTTGGGAAATGGGTATATTAGCTGGCGATACAGTTTAAGCAAGTTTTCTATCATATCTATAAAATATGAGGTCTGAACTGCGAAACTCTAACTAACATATATATATATAGTATATGACATATACAGTATTCTTACTCGACTATAAATACTGCTTTATCGCATACAACACACATTCTTGATCTAATGAGTTTTCTGAGTGTTTAGTCATCGTTTCGAATCAGCAAATTTGTGTCTGTTTTGCTTGCTTTTAAAGTTGAATATGTATAGGCTATATGTACCTATCTATATATATAGTCATAATCAATAATAATAATCAGAAATTGCAGTTTTTATCAAAATTTGCACCAAGCCTTAAAACATTAAGAAAGCAAATAAACAGGTTTACTAAGGCACACATAAATGTTAAAGTTAAATATAAATCAATACATAACGAATAGCTATCTATATAATAAATATAGACTAAATGATGGCACTGTTGTACATTTTATTTAATTTAAGTTTTATATATACTGTGTATGTATATAAAATATAAACAATATCTACATATAAAATTTTGAGGTTATATGTTTGAATTTTACTTAATATTTCTGAATTATTTATATGTAGTTAAGATAAATATATACGTATATTTTCCAAATATATAGATTCAAATCTTTTCAGATATGTAAGCCCTGGTCTCACAACTTCACACTAGTATAGATAACAAATCAACTTTCTCCCAGCACCTAGAATAGAGCATTGTTTAGTCGTTCTCATCTATATAAACTTCTCTCGTTCTGCTTGCAGTACCAAATACGACAAACGCACGAGCTGTTTGTGGAGCACACGCCCCTCCGCACAAACAAGAGTGAAAAATTTGTATATCGCTGCGGCTGATAAGGCAAATGGGCGCTGGTAAAAGGCCAAGACAATGGCCGAAATGCGAGCGTAATTAACAAAATGTGCGCCGAGCGACAAGTGAATGAAAATAGCTGAAAAATATACGTGAATCGAGACAAAAGCAAGCCAAACAACGAGTAAGCCAACGAATTTAAACAAAAAGTGTCTAAAACACAAAACCAGTGTTGAGAAGTGGCGCGCGGAGAATCGCATTGAGCGCTGAACTTGACAGCGCGACGGAGGCGCCTACGGCCGGTTCCCAGGCAAACGAATTGAAACTGTTTGTGCGTGTGTGTGTGTGAGTGAGTGTTGGCTTGTGCATGTTAGCCTGCATTCACTGTACAGTTCGAGTACAGTGTGTGTCTGCGTGCGGAAATGGCTTAGCGCAAAAATGTTTTGATTAAAAGTGAACGTTTGTGTGTCAAGCGGGTTCAAGTGAAGCGAAAGCGTCAAATACCAAAAACAAACTGTGAACTGCAACAACAAGAAGAAAAGAAACAACAACGATAACGACAGCAGCAACAGTAACGGTAACAGCAACTCATTAAGCAGCAACAGCTACAACAATGGCCGCCGACGCAATGGCAGGCAGCAGCAACACAGCAGCAACAGCAACAACAGCAACAACAGCAACAACAGCAACAGCAGCAACAGCAGCAACAGCAGCAACAGCAGCAACAGCAGCAGCAACAGCAACAACAGC